TAGTGCATATTTTCCTTCTAATTTTTCAGATAATTCTGTTCGCAAATTTTCCTAAAGTTACTGAAAATTTCAAGGAAAAATATTCATAAATTTCCTGAAAAATAAACATTTTATCGGAGGACAAGTTAAAGTTTATTTGATTTTTTTTTTATTAAAACACGGTTTTATTTCGTCTTCTGTAAAAATTTAGTTTTTCAAAAAAAAATTAGGTTTCAAAATCAACTGATTCTTGCGAATTTAAGGATGTCTTACACTAATGATCGATTTTGATTGGAGGAAGTATCTTCTTAAACCATTATTTATATCATGGTAAATTTTTAACGCGACTTTTCACCCTGCCTAACCTACCCAGCCTGTTGCTCTGTCAATGTTGAAGTATGAGCAACAATTTTCTTTCAGATATTCCACGAGGAAAGGTTGGCTGACCTTTGACCTCTGTAGGGTATCCATGGAATGTGCGCCTACACGTCTACTCTTTACATGTCGACTCATAGTTTGTCAAAACGGACATTTTCTTGTTCTATCATTATGTTGGTTCCCTCGCAAAAGAACGTAATTACATTTGAGAGGCTTGGAGGACAACGCACACAAGTGAAGGTTTTGCTAATTCGAGAAATGCGTATTTAAAGTTTCAAAATTACATGGAGTTCTAAGGGAAAAAAATTTAAACTCTTTTTTTTATTTGTTGTGAATTTTTCACAGAATATACTTTCAAACTAAACTTTTCGTCGAGTTCATGTATAACTCAATTTTTTCAAAAACTGCTTTTGTGCGCCTTGCCCTCCTAACGCCTCCTTTCAGTGCTGCCAAATGTCCTCTCGCAAATTGTATTTTTACCAGAAGAATCTTTGGCATTTCACTGATTTTTTTTCTGATCTCATGGAAAAATGAGAAAAAAAATTTGAGCAAAATTGTACAGGTACTCATCTTGTAAATAATTGAATTGTCTGAGTCAATTTCACCTTGGAATATCGTCCGGGAAGCGACGACGCACAGTGGATCGAGTCAATCAGAGAGGTCGGACAAAACATTTGTGACTAAAACTGCAAATTTTGATGTTAATTTCGTCACATTTTTAAGTTTAAGGCGTGTTTCGAGAAGAAAATTTCAAGAGAAAACCAATAGAGCCACTTTCAGAACTTCAAAGCTTCGTATGAACGGAGTTATAAGCGTTTAAAGTTCCCAAATCTTGTCCGACCTCTCCTATTGGCTCAATCAACTGTGCGACGTATGAATTCCGCGGATTAGTTTGAACTCGCGTCTCGGCGCAGACCAGCTGGTGTGAGCGGACCTCAGAGCCGGATCCTTTTTTGAAGTTTTGACTCGGCCGTGTTTTACACCGTCCACAATACGGATTTAATGGGTTTACGTGCCGCGGAGTCAGGCAAAATAGGTTGAAAGCCTCCCGGTGGGCTCCATTCACCTTTTTCACACATTCACAGAATCCGTTCCGGTCTTTTCAGGCGCGCGTCTCTATATTTCATTCACGTCGCCGAACGCATTCTCGCGGATCCTTTCCGGAAAAGTAAAAAACCCGACCGGTAGCCAATTTCATAGGTTTCACGCCACGATTTAAATCAAACACTCACACAAGAATGCAATCCTTCGACACCGTTGTCGGCTTTACTTGGCACGTCGTTTCCTAGCTCCAACGCGGGCGAATGAAGCGTTTTTTCCACGGAGGACTGGCAATTTTGTGGGCGGCTTGTTGTACAAATAACAAACAGTTTAATATGAATCGACACGGTTTGAATAATGAGCCCTCGGTGATCTACTTTAAAAGGGAGGGAGGGGGCGCGTTTGATGATTTTTCACCTGCTGTGACTACGGTGAAATCGGTTTGAGTTGTGTCATTCTGCGAGAAATATGATGTAGACGGAAACACTTTCCGGATCATCAGACAGACCTCGCAACTATATATTTTCAGTGTATATCGTTTGTACAGGGGATTTTTTGTTAATTTTAGGACTGGTTCAAACTTTTAGTCCACGAAACCTTTAGGAAAACCTGTCTGTAGACATTTGCCTTTTTTCTAATGATCATGCAGTTATAAAGATTGCCTGCAGAAATTTTGAACAGAGCAAGGCCCACTGAACCAATATTGAGACGAAAAAAAATCGAGTGATAATTTTTTATAAGAATAATATGCAAGAATAGCTCGATTTATTCGATGAAAAACAAACGCGAGAAAATGGGTATGGGTACCAGGCAAAAACGTGTTGCCAACGTAAAAAACTGCCACTGGTTTACTTACGATGGCTCATTTTTTAAACGTTAAAATCAACGTTGGTTTAGCGAGTTAGTACCGGGTGGGCAGAATTTGATGACCGGAATGTTGTAACTTGTATTATAATTTTTTCACCGTTGATCTTGCTGAACATCAATTTATTTTAATTTTGGCAAGAATTAAAAAAATTTAGTAAAATGAATTTTTAAAAAAAAAATTGTAAATGAAAGAATAGTTTATACATGACGATGTGGATTAAAATATCCACGAGGTTGATACTCCTCAAACTTTAAATTATACATGTGATTGTGATATGATACCTTTAGAACCAGGCAATCAAGCTCTAGTGGCATGAATCACTTATGATTGTGAAGGCAACGCCTTGCAAAGTAATTTTCTTAAAATTTATTGTTTTAATCTTTATAAATTCTTATTTGCATTATGACAACATGAAGCTTTTAGACTTGTTTAAAACCTAATAATGCTGCAAAAAACGAAAGCTAACGCTTATTGAGGAAAATCGACAAAAAAGCTAAATTTCTTACTTCACTGAAGCACAGTATAGACGAAATGCGACTTTTCCTCTACGATAAAATATTGGGTTTCCAAGCAACAAAATTCTCGAATTTCATCGAAAACTTGTGGTAACAGAATGATAATTTTCTCATTTCTACATACAAGACTAGGATCAGGCTCTATTAGAAATAATTGTTCAGTGGCACCACCCTGGACAAATTGCCCATAGATGCATGAGACACCGCAAATTCTTCAGTTTATACTTAATGTTTCCTGTCTCATGCGAGTATCTTAGCAAGATACCAACAGCTCCTCCAAAATTATGCTAATTTATCAGGAGATGACATTGATATTTATATCGTTGTCCATGCTAAACTAATTCGACATAAAAAAAATTGAAGTCTTATTTTAAAGAGACAAAGCAGCCTAGTTGTGCCAACTAGATTTTTTTGGGATGTATGAATTGGTTTAATGCTGTAATTTACAGATTGTAGAAAGGCAGATTCAAATTTCAACACTATGTTACAAGGTTGAATTTTAAAACGTTTCAGCATAGTTTTATGCCGCAATCACACGCTGAATTTAGCAGCTGAAGGTGGAAGTCAACAGTCATCGCCCAACGACTGAAATTTAGCAAATTCGAGTTATTTTCATCTAGATGTGTATCAAATCTACTCGAATAGACATTCAGACAAATTCAACATTAATCCGATGGTTGCTGAGAATCGTTGCTGAATTTTGCGCGTCACGCGTAAAATTCAGGACCGATGACTTCCACATTCAAGCCACATTCAGCTCCCACATTCAGCGTGTGATTGCGGCATTATTTAGAACATTTCCTAGCTAATTTTTCCAATGAGGACACGTTTTAGTTAGTTTCATCCTTCTGAGGTCGGACATGTTTTTTTTTTTTTTTTTTTTTTTTTTTTTTTTTTTTAAATTTGTAAGTTAAGACGAAACACAGACGCTGAGCCTGTGAAAAATTATTTCCCCATGCTCATGTTTCTTGAGCATCGACAAATTCTTAACTTGTTTTTCGCGTGGTTTCAAAATTCTTGCATCAGATTTTGAAATTGTAACATTTAATAGCAGCCCTTTTCAACTGTTCAACCCAAAGTACAGCGCACAATTTGTCGTTTAAACGAAAAATTATTCCCTTACGAAAGAACGTAACTATACATAATAATTTCGCCAAAAATCCTATCGCAAATTGTATTTTTACCAGGTAAATTTTTGGGAATTTCTAACTGATATTTTCAACAATTTTTCTTCTGATCTCATGCGAAACTCGTAAAAATTTTGGACAGAAACTAGGCAGGTATGTTCTTGCAAAAAAAATTGAATGCTTTGAGTCAATTTTGCAATCCTGAAATGGAGTTACATTTCTTCGTCTGGAAAACGACATATTACAGCGGTGGACTCTCCATAGTGCAATTTAGACGGATTTCAAAAGCTCATGAGGTTCTCGAATTTTTTGAGCCTCTCGCTGAAAGCTTCCGGGATTTAGTGACCTTTTTCTACATAACGGAGAAAAGAAGCACGGTTCATTTTTGGACATCGAACTTTTTCGGCTCAGATGATCGAAGTTTTCGGCCGCGGAAACCGAGCATTGGCTTAGTTTACCTACATTCGGTTGCTACAAACGAAAATTTCAGTTACCTGAACCGCGTAGTCCACTGTTCAATATGCACCAAAGTTCAGTCCCAAAAACTGAACTTTTTTTTTTCTCAGTGTAGTACAACAACTAGAATAATCGTCCTCAGAGCCGTAAAGCTCCCAAATCTTGAATCGTTTTAACCATGCAAGTCAGAGGAGCTCAAAAAAACGTTTGAGGGGGGTAATTTTCCAAAATTCCGGGGAGACTCCCTAAGACTCTCTCCTTAAATAGGGCACTATATACCTTAACCGCCCCCGCCCCTCAGTGGATCGAGTCAATTAGAGTGGTCAGACATGACGGTTTTTACTGAAACTGCTAATTTTAATGTTAATTTTGTTACATATCAATTTTTAAGGGGTGCTCGTAACAGAACATTTCACGAGGAAACCAAGGAAATCACTTTTAGAACCTCAAAGTTTTGTATAAACGGAATTATAAGCGTTTAAAGTTTCCAACTTTTGTCCGACCTCGCCTATTGACTCGATCGACTGTGCGCCCCCTCCAAGAATAAATTGAAGTTAAATTGCCCTCCTTTTTGGAAAAACACGTTAATTTTCGGGGAATCTTTTAAAATTTTGAATGTAAGGTAAAGATACGCACCTTGGCGTGTTGAGAGGTAAATCCTTTTATAAACGTCGCTCCAAGCGGGTATATTCACATTGAGGTAAACACTTATCCTGGGATCCACTGGAACTTTAAACTTAAGAGTCGGCACGAGACGAAGACGCACGAGATTGGTTCTGACGGGACGACGCGCGGATTGATGCCGGGCACGATTCAGGAGTCGAACTTAACAGAACGAGGAACACAATCGCAACTTAGAACTGGAACTATTTACAGTCTATCACAAATTAGGAGAGCCGGGAGGCCATCGCTTTGGTCGAGAGTAGAGATTGTTGCTAATATATATAACTCTGAACATTATATATATTTCAGGTTTAGGCATGAGGATCACAGGCTGCTTAGGCGAGCGGGTACTGTCACAAGGCAGTACTCGCCGTTGGCGGGTGGTGGTACAGGGAGCTTTGGTAGTAGGAATCGTTATACTGGGCGTACTGGGCCATGTCGTACATGCGGATCTCAGCCTTGCTCTCGGCCGGCAGGAGCCGCGTTATCGAGAACGGGTGCGAAGAGGCCGCGTACTCAGACTTGAGGTGGTGACCGTAGTGGTCCAGGGGCAAGCACCTCCCGGCCACGACGGCGGCCAGGTCGTCTTGGGGTTGCTGCAAACACAGCTCCGACTGGTGAAGAAGGCTCTCGTCCAGCTTCCCACTCAGGGCGCCCAGGTCGTTGCCCTTGTTGTCGTGGTGGAGTCGCTCGCCGCCCTTCTTGTCCTCGTGGTGGTGGTGATGGTGCGGGTGCGGCGAGACCGTCTTGTGCGCCTGTCGGATGGCTTCCTTCTTGTCGTCCTTGAACCTCTTCTGCCGCCGGAGATAGCACCCGTTCTCGAACATGTTCCCGGAGTCCGGGTGGAGGGTCCAGAAGGAGCCCTTCCCGGGCTTGTCCGGCGTCCGGGGCACCTTGACGAAGCAGTCGTTGAAGGACAAGGAATGCCTTATGGAGTTCTGCCAGCGCTGCTGGTTTTGCCGGTAGAACGGGAACAGGTCCATGATGAATTGGTAGATCTCGGAGAGGGTGAGCATCTTGGTCGGCGAGTTCTGGATGGCCATGGTGATGAGGGAGATGTAGGAGTAGGGCGGTTTGGCGTGGGTGTAGCTGCGGCGGTAGGTCTTGTCGGCGCGGGCCCTCTGGAGGGCGGCGGCGTCGGGGGAGGCGGCCTCGGGGACGCCGCCGAGGTCGGGGCGCCCGCCCATGCCGAGGGCGCCGTTGTAGCCCATGGAGCCCATGCAGGAGCCGTTCATCTGGGAGCCGTAGCCCATGGCGGCCGGGCCCATGCAGCTCCCGTTCATGGCCATCTGGGCGACCCCCGAGGAGGCGAGCATGTTCGGGTTGAAGGTGGGCGCCGTTTGCGGCGAGCAGTTGCTTACCGACATGGAGTAGGACGAGGGCGACATGGCGTGGCTCATCGAGGCCGAGTCTCCGTACAGTTTCTGCGAGAGCATCGTCATCCTAACCTCACTCGCATGGAGCGCGGTGCCCGGTTCCCCGCGGAGGGGCGACAAAACACTCACTGATTGAAAAAGCAAACACTGGAGCCGCGCCACGCACAGATCTGCACAAGAACGAGCGTGTTGTTTGGCTAAGAGAGGGGGACGCACTGTTTGGCTTTCTAAGATTCAACTGAAGTGCCTATACAAAGTCGAGGAGCGGCCGAGGCAGGAGCCAGGGCTCGCGGCCGGAGCGTCGGGGGTGGGGGACCGCCCTCCAAGCCGAGACCACGCCTCCGGCCGGTTGCCACGGCGACGCCAATCCCGGAGCAGGACGCCGCCCCGCGGACCCTCCCTCCTCCGGCGGCGCCTGGCGTCGCGGCGACCCACCGACGACAACCACGTCGCTCCGCGGCTCCATTCGCACGTACACGCTCTCTTCTCTCGCGCCTCGCTG